CAATGCAAAACATGTGTTAACAAACAGACATATGGATTACTTTGATGGATTGACATTAGAATGATGGAGTTGAACAATGGGATCAAAGTCAATTTAGTGACATGTAATTTGGTTTGTTTGGTGTGGAGGACACCATATTTGACTCATAGAAACTATAGAAAATCAAACCATCGCAAATAATATCAACTGCACATCCATATTTGTCTTCTATATAAGACACATACATAATCCTGATAACCAGCCGTCAATCTCAAAACTAAAACTAACATAGTTGAATAAACGCAAGTTATTGTTCAAACGCGAGGTTGAACATCTAAGCTAATGAGTTGCAACCTGTAATACTGTTGAAAAAGAAAGCATTTTATATGAGACTTCCATGTCCTGATTTGACACGAACTTAACATAGGTGCTTTATATTTAGTGAGGCCGAAAAACTTAGTTGCTTCGGTGTACCTCTATGTAATGTAACATCTGAAGCATTTTGACATATTGAGAAAATTAAAGTGAAAGTTGGAGTAAAGGAGGTGAAAAGAAGATCTACAGATTAATAAGTGTGACAGCCAATTAACAACTCTATGCTTAACTGAATCCTCAAGGCAATCTACAACGATTTTTTAATTATTTTCTCACAAAAACACCATCATAATTTCATGATTAACTCATACCAACATTATTCCTAAGAGGAGAACCACATTAAAGCAATAACTTTCATTCTCAATGTCTATGAGGAGCACATATATTTTCTATTTTTCACACATTGTAGTTAAGTGGTTTTACAATTTCCACAACAGGTGCAAAACTTGGACCAGCAAGAGTATAATGAGAACATATTGAGTGCTTGAGGCGAACATCGGTGCGATTGGTATATGAAATGGTACTCTCGTTTTAGTTCAAATTCAATACTGCCAATCACACCCATGTTCATATACCAACCCGCAATACCTAAGGAGAAAGCAACTCGATGTCCCCACCCAATTGACCTGTGACCCAATTGGCCCACAACCCGCCCGACCCATGACCCAATTGATCCACAACTCGATGAACCCGCAACCCTACTAAACAGAACCTGATGAACTCACAACCTGACTAACCCACAATTCGATTGAAACCAGCCTAACCTGTCCATTTATTTATAAGATAGATACAAACTTTAATTAAATATTAAATTACAATTAAAATATATTTTTTTTCAAAATTGTACTATCAAAACACCAAATAAGTACTTACGAATATTTATAGGGCTATCTAACTGTTCAAAAGTTCTGTGATTTTCATATTTTAGCTCATGTATATTTTTAATTTTAAAAGATACAACAAATCTACATGGACACCTTGACTTTGTTTGAAGTGACAATGGTTCAAATCCCAATATGTCTCTTTCTTTTTTTATACATAAATAATAAGATAGGTAATTGCGAAGACATAAATGACATTTCTACTTTTGCTCTCGTTACTGAAAATCTGAAATGGGAGGTAAAGTTTTCACTTGTAGCTTTAAAGTTTTCCCTTGGAGATTTAAATATATGTGCTTATTATCCAGCCCCTCGGCCGGACGTAGTTTCGGAAATTGGTACTCAGATTCTTCCTTATATTACCCATTAACATGTCTGTGGATGATCGGAGGTAGGTCAATAAGACTATAATAGTATGATGGAAAGTCATTATCCCATTGCATTACAAAAGAAATAGTAAAACATAAACACTATAATGGACAATCCAAACCAAGTGATTAGCGCTAAATCTAGCCACTTTGCCAAGCACCTTGATACCCCTAGAGTGAACATGAAAAAACCAAAGGAATGCTTACTTGCCTCAAATTCCCGATCATGAAAATAGAAGACACCAACAGATTTCATAAAGAAAATTCAATCTGGATTGCCTTAGACCAAAACCACAGTGACACAAAAGGCGAATCCCTGGCTGAGAAACCAAAACCAACAATGTCCAAATTAAGTCGATGGAATGCGCTGCTAGATTTCCTGATATATAGTTTTGTTATTTAAAATGACAAAAAAGAAAATAAATACAAAACATTGAATCTGTTGTAGAAATCTCATATACAAACAAAAGAAACATGCAAGCAACATATGCCTAGAAACACCAACATATAACAACTTTTGTCAATACCCCTACCACTATGAAATCCTGCCAAATCACTCATAATCACTCTGCTATACTAAAGAGACAAATGACTTACATCTCTGTAATTTATATCTCTTCAATCCGTATAAGTCAGTCGTTATGTACCCTCTCCATTATCATGATTTTAACCTTCTCGACAGCAAATCCATTTATTGGTCCTCTCTTACTCTTTCGTGGCAGCTACATGGCATTTTGCATCATTAATCCAAACAACCATTCATTGTTGCAACTTATGGCTTGAGTTAATATCACTTCTGTCATAATACAAATTTACATGAAATGAAAAAAATGATTAGTATCGTAGCCTTGTAAAATTTAGAGTACTAATGTCGATTCTCTCTTCTCCTTGGTGACTCCGTCAATAAAATTAAATGAGATTGTGACTATCTCTACCAACCATTGTATATGATCATAGTATGATCTTTTGTATAAACTGTATATGCCTTACCAACTTTTGCATTGCAACTCCAAGAGCTAACTTGATTGGGCTCTCCTCTAGGTAAACATTTTGTATCAACAACAGCAAGACAACAAAAATTGATTTGGTCGAGATATTATCAAAATCTTGTGCTGCACTGAAGAAGCCTATACCGTTTCTCAGGCCTCGTCAACCCCCAATCAATTTGACGTGGGTCATTGCTCTCTTACCATCTAAACCAAAGAGGAATCTCAGGTTAGTCTCATTTATAGCTTAACTTGACAATAGTTTAGAGAGGAGATACAATCACTACAGGAAAACAGATTTCTAGTCACGGGATCTTTTTCACGGGAAGTTTTACCGTACTAAGAAGTGTATTAATGATCACGGTTAATATTCCTGTAATTGATTGTATAATTCCAGTCATGGTAATTAGTTTAACAAATTTTTAGTCTTTGTTTACCGTGATTAATTGTTAGTCACGGTTAATTACCGTGAACAATCACCTCATACAATAAAATCCTACGAAAACAACACTAATGAAGCTATAACATCCCGACATTTGTGTTCGGGTTTGAACATAATAAATGCATGAGTTGGATCGACGGTTACATATTAAAATTTGAATAAAATCAAGCCAAGTCTAAGAATCCGACCCAATTGAATCTTTGGGCCAAATTATATCTATTTGAACTGCTAATTTTCTAGAATGGTTAGTAGTGAGCAAGCCTCAAATTGGGCCAAGACCCATGACCCATCGTTTAGCAAGCTAAGAGTTCTGTAGGGTTCTTTCAACTATCTATATATATATATACTAGATCATGGCCCGGCCTGTTGGCCGGGTAAGTTTAGTATTGTTGTATATTTACACTAAACATTGAGGTAAAATTCCTATATAAGCAATTCACGGTTTGCTGTGTAACAATGGGTTTCCTCCTAAAAATTGCAATAAGAATATATGATTTGGTTGTCATAAAACTTGTCTACTTGACCATGAAACTAAAATGGCAGTCTTCTAATGGGACTTAGTGATTCGGCTTAGTATTTCTCCCAATAAATTCCTCACTTGGATTTAAATATCATATGGTTTATAGATATGGAATTACATTATATAATTAAGACGGATTACTATGCATAATGGTGTTTGATGCGAGACATACCTAAGAACAATATAGTATCTTCCCTATAAAAGATTAAAAAAATCTTAGCCTTGATTGTAAGGATGGCAATTTTGACCTGACCCGTTGTACTCGACTTGTTTGGCCTGCTTTAGGGCAGGTCCAACCCGCCCCGTAAGTAGGGCGGGGCGGGCATGGGTACCTCTCATCGACCCAACCTGCCCTGACCCGCCCCATTCTCGCCTAAATTACATGCACTACAAAAAAAGTTGGCTTTAACGAGGGGCCAATACGGTCGTTAAAAGGCATTAAACTGTCGGCAAAAGCTTTTAATGAGGGGCAAGACCCTGTCATTATTGGCTTTGCCGCTAAAAGCCAATGCCGACAGGAAAATTCATACCCGTCGTTGAAAGCTTTAACGAGGGGTCTCTTTCCGGTCGTTGAAACTGAGCTTTTACCCACTGGATTTATAATTAATGCCGACTGGGTTTATAATCAATGCCGATGGTTTTGTTGTTGATATATTCCCCTCGGCAGAGTAGTCAAAATCCCGATTTAAATCCTAAAATCCTACGGTTTTACGATTTTACTTACCTATTCCGATTCTGATTTCACTATAAAATCTATGGACCTTAAAATCCTACACTATTCACGATTTAAATCCTTAAAATCTTTAAAATCTTACGATTTTACGATTCAAATCTTGAGTCAATTTTACATATTTCCCCTAGAATTTGCAAAATTACGCCTCTTTTTCTTCTCCTTCACCAGCATCATCTAGTTCTCTCACACTAATCACCATTGATTATAATCAATTCACATCAACGTATTAATCATCATCGGTTCACCACCTCTTAACATTAACCTTGATAAATTGGAACATTAACCTTGAAAAATTATCATTGTAAGTGTTATGTGCTTTTGTGTTATTCATGATTTTCCTTACTAATATTATTTCGTCTTCATTTTTATATGTACCTTAAAATCCTACGATTTTACGATTCCGATTTTACCCCCATTTTCGATTTTACGTAAAATCCCGATTTTGACTGCTTTGCCCCTCGGTACTGATGTGCAATACCAACTAAAAGACCTATCGTGTTGGCCAAACTAAATTACCAGCCAATATTAAGGCCAAACTAAAACCTCGTTGACCTCTTGCTGCCTTTAGATTCCTTAGTTAATATTCATTTTAAGATCCAACACAGAGATAAAATAACAATTGTAATTAACAATCATCATTGATTAAATCTGTACAATAAATAACATAGTACCATTGTACAATTATATGTTTGATATTTTAGGATATACAAACAATTATGGACAATGATATTTACAAACTGTCAAACAAGAAAAATGTGCTAAAGTATTTGAAGCATAATGTCAACAAAAAAAAGCCATATACAATGTTGATGATATCTTGTCCATTGTGTAACATGATGCTTTCTCTATTGAGCTCCAGTAGTACACACGAACACCTGCTAATTAAAAGTATATAAGGCATAATATTAGTTCTTTGGCAAGAAATACACTCTTGAACCAGCTTAAGATGAACAAAATGCAAGCACTCTGCAAATTTCCACTCTTCACTTGCCTCACAGGTTCATGTACAACCAGAATAGGTTTTCCTCCTTGAAGCTGTGATCTTTCATACTAGAGATCTGAAACCTCACTCTCTTTATTCTTAATAAAAAGAACATATTGACTAGATTAACCTGGAAAATACACACACCAATTGTCCTATCTTAAACAATCAAGAACACTAAACACCCATACCAAACCACCATCCGTAAGCAATTCTACCAACATTCTTGAGACATGGTTTGCTAAATTTCCATACATAAAGAACTCTCAACAAATTATCAGTGAAGTAGCCATTGTCAGCATATAGATCTACACCAAGTGACCCACAATTAGCATACAAACCATTATCAGCGCCTTTTTATCAACCTGGTAGAGGTATCAGCACTTCTTGATAAACTTAGTGACCCATTATCAACCAAATTGATAGCAAATAAAATACGATATACAGATTAAAGTGATGGGATTAAACTCCAAACCTTCCGAATCGAGAGTAGGAAACGAAGAGGCTGTTGATTCTTCATATTAGAGAAAGAGCTCTAAGAGAGAAGGAATCCCCAAGACGGAAAACCCTAAAATATGAAAAATTATTGTCAAAAGTGAGTTAAGAAATGATACTAGAGAGAGGGATAGGGGGTATCTCTGTTACAAGGGATCTAGGGTTTTGAAGTACCCAAACGGCGATGCTGAAGCACTCTGCTCTTGACTGTGTTCGTTCCTAGAATCTGAGGAAGGTGCCACAATCTCCTCGTCTTCTTCCTTAGAAAGGGTGAGATTTGGTAATTAACTAGCCAATTAACACAACAAAGTTTCCTTGTCGACCCAATTGGAATTGAAAGTTATTAAAGAAACCCCAACTTAATTTTTCTGTGGAATGTGCAGAAAGGATACCTCGTCGTATACAGGGGAAACGCTGAAGTGCCTCACCACATCATTGAAATACTCTGTCATCTTCCTGGTTCTCACCATTACTTTATCACGTCCATCAAAATCTTCAGGATTGTAGACAAGGGGGCGATGAAAAGAAGAAAATGACTCCGAAGAACCCCAGTTAGGGGAAGAGCTACGACGACAAAGAGCGGCTGGTGAAGGGCAAAATGGGACTTGGATTGCATGTGGCAGCTCGAATGGAGCAAAATGGGTGAAACTGATGGCCATCTACGGCCACTAAAATCATCTTCCTCTGGTCTTCGTAGAAACGATTGAAAGAAATGAGAATTGGGAAAGTTGGAGTGAGAAAATGTAGAGAGAACTTGTTAGATTTTTCTGGAGGAGAGAGGAGATTTGATTGCCTTTTGCCCTTTTTTAGATCTGAAAGTTCGGTGAAACCCGCCAAGTCCAAATAAGTTGGGCGGGCTTTCAAAATAATTTAGCGAATAGTTACACCGAGGGGTCTTGGCCCATCGCTAATAGCTTTTTGGAGTAATAACGATGGTAGGTTATAGACAATAACGACCGAAAACAGAACACCCTCGTGGATAACAAAGTGTCAATCAAAACTGTCCTTCAACGACCGGAAATGATCCCCTCGCTACTTTTTACCCTCGTTAAAGCCTCTGTTTTTTGTAGTGATGTAATCGTAGTCAAAATACTTAGGATTTTTATTTTATTATCTCATATTTAGCTATAAAAAAGTTGTAAATAAGTGAAAACCTCAGTTTCTCTAATAATTTAACTACATTTTATCATATTATGGTTTGTTACTTGGTCTTTTAATAAAAATAACGAATATTTCTAACATTTTTCACATAAATTACATACCCATTGGGTCGACCTGCCCGACCTGCGCCCCGTAATAAATTACCCGACCTGGACCCGGCCTGCCATGGGGCATGTATGGGTATCGAGATACCCGCTCCAGACCTGCCCATTGTCATTCCTACTTGATTGATGTGAATGAGACCGTAATAGAAACTATGCGGCATGAAAACAAAATGAAAGGAACTAAGCATCGCACATAATACATTTATTAGAGAAGTGATAACAGCTAATGAACAACTTGTAAATTGTGTAGTCATTGAAGTTGAAGGGATTCATGCATAGATGGGTGTAGGTAAAAAAAACTAATTTATTATATTTATAGAGTGCTAAAATTGGTATCAGATACAAATAAGTTTGCTGAACTGAATTTAGCTTTTGAACTAAGCATGTTTGTTGAATCAAGTTCGTTGGTTACATAGAAACTCGACCAGTTGCACAAAATAATGCGTTGTATAATTCTTTGATAATTTGAAAGGCAAAATAAAGAGCGTCACATTATAACTTAGTTTAGTAGAGAAACCAAATAAAAAAATAGTCATGTGGCCATTTTAAGAATCATGGGCAACAAATATCGTGTCAAATTACTAAGTTAATAAAGACGAATATGAACACAAAGGCCGACATTCTTAACATTCTTATGAAATGAACGGTTAGTTTTAATGATGAGCTTATTTATTGACAAAATTTTCACTAACCGGTGAATGAGTGTGCAACTTTATGGTTTGAAATCAAGCAATTAACAATGAGTTGAGACTCATTGTGATCCGAGAAAGAGCTTAAATTGAAGTTGCAGTTTAGCATATAGGCCTCACTATATACTTCACAATGACCTTATTTTATTGACAAAATTTTCAATAAACTATGAATTTTCATAGAAATGGTTTAATAAGTTTATATGAGATGAAGTAAAGATTAATTTTTCAACCAACAACTCATTCATGCAATGTGAGTTAAAAATTAATGGTCGAATCGATTTAGTTTAATAGTTCAAACTTATCCCAAATAGCCCAAATTTACCCTAATATATGGAAAATGTTTCTAATACTACATATTTGTATTCAAATAATATTAAGTATAAAACAAAATCACCTATTATGTAAAAAACAATAAATAAGTCAATTATAAATGTCCATGTGTTATGTTCTTATCCTTAGGAATCCCAATCCACCATAGATTTTCTCCTTCCTTATCCCTTCTCAACCCAAATAATTAACGGCCCAATCTGTCATTTTTCATAGCGGATTCGAAGCGCTATATTTCGTTTCCCTATTTGATTTCCATGTTACCGCTTCATTTATTACAGCACAACAATGAGTTCAATTTTAACCCCTTCTCCCCTTGGTTCTTCATAACACCTCGAGACTCTATGTAAAGTAATTAAAGGTCCGAGAGCGTGGAGAACTTAAGAGCAGACAACAACTAAGTCGTCAAGGAGGAAGTCCTCTGGACAACTTGTACCATGGAAGGATTGGAGAGCGGGAGTGTGCCAAGAATGGGAAAAGGTGAGAGTGATTGAGCGGGAGACGCCGACTAGGAGATTGACAGGGAGGGTGAAGGTCGAATTGCCGCCCAACTTTTGAGTGTGGGAGAAGAAGAAAGAAATATTAGCGATTTGAGAATTGGGACTGAAGTTTAGTGGTTGAAGAGGACACCGAGAAAGACAGGTGAAATTTTGCGTTTTCTCATTTCCTTCTGCAAAACTGGGTTGATGTTCTTCGTTTAGGAGACCTGGTCCGAAATGAATCATAAGGTCCGCCACCGGTTGGCTACAATGGGAATTAGACCTTTTCCTCCCCTTTCCCACTCGGTCTACACTCGTCACTGAAAAAGGGAGGCAATTGTAGATTTTGCCCATCCTCTCCTGCAACTGAAAAATTATCGGAGATTCTCAGTCTCTCAGGGAATTTGTTTTAAGCGACAATTATCTTGATCAATCCACTACTTATCTACATAGGTGAAAAACTCAAGAAATGTTTAAGGATTGAAGTGCGGAAGATGTAAAAAGTTTCGGCTGAAGCAGAGGTAAAAAGCACCAGCAACAGAGGGGTTAAGGATTGAAGCGAAGAAGAGGTGGGGAGAAGAGAAAAGGAAATGAAAAATAAAAGAGAAAATGATAGTTGATTGAAGGCACGCAGCGTGAGAGCAAATACAGGGACAAAACGCGGCGTGTAATTACTGTGGTGAAATTCCTTTAATGACCTACCGAGAAACGCTCTCGTGCTTGGGATTTTGAAATGGTCGATTCTAGATCCATGAAAACGTATTATATATAGTCTAGACTAGATATATAATTGCATAAAGTGGAGCTCGGCAACACAAATTGGAATGGGTTCCTAGAGGAACAAATTGTGGGCTGCTCGATGCGGGCAATGAAGAGGAAAGAGATGGTGGTGACAGGAGCGGCCTGATGATCTTGGAATTTGTCGCTAATTGCAGCATTCCAGGAGAGGATGGATGAAGGAACGGTGGCTTTTGACTGTCCCTCATGGTCGCGGCCATGTTCGATGAACCTTTGAGATGATGACCAAGTTTCCAGCCATAGAGGTAGGGATGACAATGGGTCGGATTTTGCCAAACCCAAATCCAAATCCATGGGTTTATTCGTGAAAAAAATCCGGGGTAAAACCCACTGAGTTTGAAAAACTTAAACCCAACCCGCTGGGTATTCGAGGGTTGATGGGTACCCATGGGTTTTTTGTCGTAAAAAATTTACAATACCAAGTCTTATCAAAATAAAAGTCAAATATAAATCTCTCAATACAAATTATCCATATATAAAACACCATTCTATAAAATTCAAGCAAATCACAAATTAACCATACAAATTGTTCAACACCAATCTAGGAAACTCAAGAAAATTGAAGCAAATCACAAATTATCCATAAACAACATGATTAATTGAAATTTTTTTTTCTCCTTGTCAATTAAGATTCTTCACTCTCCACTCGATAATATCAACTTCATTCTAAACAATTAGAAAGAAAGAAATAGACATGTCTCCACACACTTAAAGAAGATTAGTTGTTTAGAATATTAAATATACCGGGAAAATTAATTATATGGGTGTGGGGGTACCCATGGGGCGGGTTCGCCTAAACCCAAAGCCAACCCAACCCGGTGAATAATGAACGGGTTTAAACCCGAACCCGGCCCAAAACCCGTCAACACGGATTTTACCCGCGTTGACCGGGTTGGGTCGGGTAGGGTACCCGTGGGTTTGGGTTTTGTTGCCATCCCTACATAGAGGTACTTATGCACTCCCACATGTACTTGGTCGAAAGAGATCAATACTGGAGCAGTTCTTTATTAAGCCGAAGGGCAATTTCGGCCAATCGACTCGGAAATAAGGTTGAGGAAGGGTATGTGGCGGCAGATTCCGAGAAGAGGCGGATCGATGCGAGTAGTTGCACCAGCATTTGACGGGGTTTCCAGCTCCTCATCGAGGAGTATAGATAGAGTTAGTTCCATTATTATGTTCATGATCATGAGTATATAAATTGGAGATTCGAGATTTTGAGTTTGGGTGGTTTTGTTGACCCTAGATTTGAGGTCGCCCAATTGTTTAGGTCATTTCATTTGAATTTATTTGGGAAATGATTTGGTTGTATTTGTTTTTATTAAAGTTTTTGAACATTGTTTTGGTCGGCTCAGGAGCCATGAGTAATTCAGTTTAATTAAAAGGATCGGGTTGTTTTAGAAGCACCCAAATTACAATTTCGTCCATATTTCCTATGAGGGTATGCATGTGCAGATTAAGAAAGTTAGAAGGATTAAGGAGGGAGCTTACTTGGCATGCGGTTTTGATGAGCAAAAATCCCGTAAATAAATTCCAGGTAGAGATGTCCAATCGGTCGGGTCTAGGCATGTGTATATGTCAACATGCTATACTACAAACACAAAGAGTTCGATCGGTTTGTCCTTCCCATGTTAACATATGCTCACCATGTATTTATTGCTTGTAGAGAGAAGAATATTAAACCACCTTGTATCTGCTCCAATTATAGGTATCACTCGTGCTTTCTATATTGTAATTATTAGAACTTCACTTTTAAATATGGAAGCAAGTGACCACTATCACGAAACATCATATTGTAAAAACTTATATGCAATCATGAGGTTATTTCAGTCAAAAGAAACCATGTTCTATATGTTGAAGATCAGCATTATTGCTTGAATAGTTCAATTCGGCAACTATCTCAACTCTTACATCTAAAATCTGTGTAAAAGTGGTATATGATTCAACCTATTCCCTATGCTAACACTAAGCATAATAATATTTGTTTACTGGAAACAAACAATAGAAACATTCAAATTAGAAAAATGATGATACCGAAAAAGGAGTATCATAACAAAAGCAACAAAAAATGTAGCTTTATATCTTTAATCAACTCAAAATTCAACCTAGAAGAAAAACCAAATGAATTGATGGTTA